AGTGCCCAGGCCCAGAGTTCAGGCCCCACAACCGGCAAAAAAAAAAAAAAAAGAAATTGGCATTGAGTCAGGCGCTAGTGGCTCACACCTGTAATCCTAACTACTCAGGAGGCTGAAATCTGAGGATTGCAGTTCAAAGCCAGCCCCAGCCTGAGCCAGAAAATCCATGAGACTCTTATCTCCAATTAATCACCAGAAAACCAGAAGTGGCACTGTGGCTCAAGTTGTAGAGCACTAGCTTTGAGCTGAAGAGGTCAGGGACAGTGCCCAGGCCCAGAGTTCAAGCCCCTGACCGACCACAAAAAAAGAAAGAAATTGGCATTGAATGTTTATAATTTAGAGATAGAAAAAAAAATACAATTGTTTCAGTATCTTTTTTCATCAGTTTTATATCTAGTGTAAGGCTACTATTAGTCTCCTGGCATGTTCTCATTCTTAGGTGGCCAGTGTCGGTAAAGCATTTGATGGAGCTCAGAATAGACTTAGGTGATTGCAAGTATATTTTTACCTTACTGCCCTCAGAGTAGCTTTCATGCCCAGACAACCTTGGACACTTGTTCTTACGATAGTGATTCTGGTGTGTGGCTCAACTAAAAAAATGCTGTGAGACATACTTGAAACTTTTTCCCCCCCAGTCCTGGGGCTTCAACTCAGGGCCTGGGCACTGTCCCTGAGCTACTTTTGCTCAAGGCTAGAACTCTACCACTTGAGCAATAGCACCACTTCCAGCCTTTTCTGTTTATGTGGTACTGAGGAATTAAACCCAGTGCTTCATGCATGCTAGGCAAACACTCTGCCACTAAGCCACATTCCAAGCCATATATTTTGAAACACTAATGTGTCAAGAATGTTTTGTATCATGACCCAAAAATATGATCGTATGTTGGAGACAGCTTTCACAAAACAATTGTTTACCTGTGCCCCATAGGTAAACAATTTAAATTTTTTTGCCAGTCCTGGGGCTTGAACTCAGAGCCTGGGCACTAACCCCTGAGCCTCTTTGTGCTCAAGGCTAGTGCTTTACCACTTGAACCACAGTGCCTTTTCAAGTATTTTCCGAGTAGTTTATTGGAGATGAGTCTCTCTCATAGACTTTTCTGCCTGGACAGGCTTTGAAACACAATCCTTAGATCTCAGTCTGCTGAGTAGCTAGGATTATAGGTGCCCGACTTTGTAACTTTTTTTTTTTTTTTAACTTTAAATGTTGGCTTCTACCTGGGATCTTGAACTATAGTTTGAAAAATACTGCTTCAAAACATGTAATCATTACATGTATTACGTTACAAGTAATATAACCATTGCTTCTACTTGAGTTAATAACTGAAAGTATGTCACCTAGAGCATTTAATTATGAATACCACTGACCAGAAACAATTGTAATTCTTTGGTTTAGTGGTAGACGAAGGAGAAGTCCCTCCCCACCACCCACCAGAAGGCGACGTTCTCCTTCTCCTGCCCCTCCTCCGCGGCGGCGCAGGTCTCCCACACCACCACCACGTCGAAGGTACTGTTGGATCTTGGACTGTCTGGCTCTGGGTCTTTATCATAGAACTCAGAGTAGTATTGCTGCTCCAGTTATAGAAGACCATATATTGTATGGGTCCACATATATGAGAAGCCTTGAATACATGTCAGTCAAGTAAGCCAGGTGTGATACATGCCTATAATCCCAGCACTTGGAAGGATGAAGCAGGATAATCACAAATTTAAAGCCAGCTTGGGCTTTAGGAGCCCCCGTCTCCCCCCCCCCAAAAAAAATGGCTTATAAAACCCAATTCTGACTAGGAATTTAAACTCAGAATAAAAGAACCAAGAACACGTTATAAATTGATCCTAAGTATTTTATTCAGGTTTAATTCCTAAGAAACGCATTAGGATTTTGTAGGAGTTAAGCATTCAGAGGATTACAAGATTGTATTTTCACTGAGAAATGGACTTTTGAAGAGAGAATGGGATAGTCAATTTGAGGGAGATAGAATATAGGGGTGTGGTTTCAAGTTAATGCAGTAAATGCTCGATTGTTCAGAGTCCACATAACAAGAAAGAACAGAAAAAGAGAGCTCTTTAAACCTAAGACTTCTTGAGTTGGTAATTATCCATAGAGCCTTGTGATGTAGTTAAATTGTCCTGACAATAACTAATGTTCATAGTTGGTACTAAGCAAGGCAATGTCTCTTTGTATGAAACATTACATTGATTCACTGTATAGTGTTACATGTCTTTGACAAACTTGCATTCTTCTAAAAATCGCAGGTTTTTCCATTAAACAGCATATCTGCTCCAAATATATTCCCTTTGGACAACGCTAACTGTAAGATAGTTGATACTGGTGATTTGTTCTGGTAGGCCTTCCAGCTTAATGATGTGTCCTTTTCCTAGGACGCCTTCACCACCACCACGTCGGCGCTCGCCTTCCCCAAGAAGATACTCTCCTCCAATACAGAGACGATACTCTCCTTCTCCACCTCCCAAGAGAAGGACGGCCTCTCCCCCACCCCCTCCCAAACGAAGGCCATCACCGTCTCCACCACCAAAGCGCCGGGTCTCCCATTCTCCACCTCCCAAACAGAGAAGCCCCCCAGCCACCAAGAGACGGTCACCTTCTTTATCTTCAAAGCATAGGAAAGGGCCCTCTCCAAGCCGCCCTGCCCGGGAAGCCCGGTCACCACAGCCAAACAAACGGCATTCGCCCTCACCGCGGCCTCGAGCTCCCCACACCTCCTCAAGTCCTACCCCCGTTCGAAGAGGACCTTCTGCATCACCCCAAAGAAGACAGTCCCCATCTCCAAGTACTAGGCCTATTAGGAGAGTCTCCAGAACTCCAGAACCGAAAAAGCCAAAAAAGTAAAAATACTTTAACTTTGTAGTTAGGAATACTTAGTTGCCTACAGAAAGGAATAAGTTTTGAATGCAAATTATCAGTCCCATTCACAAATCTTTTCCATTTTTAGGATAGTTCCTTATGACATTAATGCCATAGGATTTTACTTGATTCTTGGGTAGGGTTTTTGAGAACCATGCTTCCAAAACAAGTGATTCAGAGAGCATTTCTCACTGTGCATTCAAGATTGATAAGGGCACCCTGTGGCTCATGCCTATAATCTAGCTGCTCAGGAGGTTGCAATCTGAGGATTGCAGTTCAAAGCCAGCCTGGGCAGAAATGTCCCTATGAGACTTATCTCCAGTTAACCACTCAAAAACTGGAAGTGGTGCTGTGGCTCAAGTGGTAGACTGTTAGCCTTGAATACAAAGAGGTTCAGGGACAGCACCTGGTCCCTGAGTTCAAGCCCCACAAGCAACACACAAAAAAAAAGTGATAAAAAGCACTCTTGCATAAAATGTGAGGAACTGGCATTACTGGTTTCATATAGGAAGCACATTAACAGAATCAATAGAGGGTTGTGGAGTTTAAGCTACCCTGTAGGAGACTTAAGTGATAGAAATGAAGTTTGTGACCTCTTGGATATTGTGATAATTTTCTAACTGTTTTGTTTTTGTTCTCTCTGCCCCGCCCCCCCTTCCCCTTTCAGGGCTGCCTCACCTAGCCCACAGTCTGTAAGAAGGGTCTCATCTTCCCGATCTGTTTCTGGATCTCCTGAGCCAGCAGCTAAAAAGCCTCCAGCACCTCCGTCCCCTATCCAGTCTCAATCACCTTCTACAAACTGGTCACCAGCAGTACCAGTCAAAAAGGCTAAAAGCCCAACACCAAGCCCCTCACCGGCCAGAGTATGTGTCTATCTAGTTTGGGAAATCCTTTATAAATTGTATGCGGTTCCTTTGTTGTTACTTGATTTGCTTTATTGTTGTTGGATTGTTTTGTGCTTACTGAGGCTTGAAGTCAAGGGCTGGGATACTGTGCCTTAGCATTTTCACTCAGGGCTAGCGCTGCAGTCACTTGAGCTACAGCTCTTCTGCTGGTTTTGCTGTTTAGTTGGAAAGAAAAGTCTCACAGATTTTTTCTGCCAGGGCTGGCTTGGAACTGGATTTCTCATATCTCAGCCTCCTCCTAAGTAGCTAGGATTACTTTGTGAGCTACCAATGCCCTCGTTATGCATAGTTAATTTGCATTGGAGAAAATATCAATGGTCAAAACCCTAGATCTCAACTAGTCTTCGTCTATTGTAAGTCATAAAATTCAGAGTTTGGACACATTTCTGTATTGTATAAAGTCAGTACTTAGTGCCAGGAGCTGGTTGCTCATGCCTGTAATCCTAGTTACTCAGGAGGCTGAGATCTGACGATTGAGGTTCAAAGGAAGCCTGGGCAGGAAAATCCTTGAGACTCTGATCTCCAATAAACCACCAGAAAACTGGAAGTGGCACTGTGGCTCAAGTGGTAGAGTACTAGCCTTGAGCTGAAGAGCTGAGGGACAGTGCTCAGGCCCAGAGTTCAAGCCCCATGACCAACCAAAACTAAATAAATAAAATCAGTACTTAGACTTTCACTGAATTTTGCTAGTTAATTGGTTAGCAATTTGAAATTTTACAATTATAGATTATGCCAGCAAAAAGCTGGAAGTGGCCAGGTGCCAGTGGCTCACACCTGTAATCCTGCCTACTTAGGAGGCAGGATGCTGAAATAATGAAGATCACAGTTTAATCCAACCTGGTCAGGAAAGCCTGTGAGACTTAACTATTTCCAAAAGCTAGGGACTAGTCCAGGTCCTGAGTTCAAGCTCTAGAACTGGCACAAAAAAAAAAAGATTATAGGTTAGATTCAGAAAAAGACAGCAGAGCCTGTCTTTTGCATAAATTCATTATACACATGGTCCCAGACTTGATTCCACTTACTGTTATTTTTATATTAAATATATATGTATATAAGCTGGGCGCTGGTGGCTCACGCCTGTAATCCTAGCTACTCAGGAGGCTGAGATCTGAGGATCTCGGTTCAAAGCCAGCCCGGGCAGGAGAGACTGTGAGACTCCTATCTCCAATAAACCACCAGAAAACCAGAAGTGGCGCTGTAGCTCAAGTGGTAGAGCGCTCGCCTTGAGC